GATTGCCATGCCCTCCTCCAGGGAGTCTTCCTGACCCAGGGATTGAACCCTCTTCTCTTACGTCTCCTGCATTGGCAGGTGGGTTCTTTACCACTAGGGCCAACTGCAAAGCCTCTAAGAGCTCTATGCCTAACCCTAAACACCAAGGTTTTTTCTCTACTTTTTTCAAAAAAGTTTTATAGTCTTACACTTTGCATTTAAGTCCATGATCCATTTTGAGTTAATTTTTATATAAATTTGAATTGAGTACCACACACCTCCCCATGTCCAGCTGCGCCTGGATCATCTTTTGAAAGGAGCTTCCTGGGTGGTGCTAGTAGTTAGAGAAGACTATAATTCTTTCATTGAATTGTTAATTTTCAGTTGAGCATATTTGTGAGATCTGTTTCTCGCTTCCATTGATCTATGTGTCTCTCCTTCTGTCAGTATGACACAGTCTTAATTACTATGGCTGTTTAACTCTTGAAATCAGGTAGACTGAATTCACCTTGCTTTTTCAAAATTGTCTTAGCTATCCTAGGTCCTTTGCCTTTTCATAGAACTTTTAAAATAATCTTGTCTACATATACAAATGTTCTTATTGTAATTTTAATAAGAATAGTGTAAACTTGTATCTTGATTTGGGGTGAAATGATATCTTCACCATGTAGAGCTTTCTAATCCATGGACATGGTGAATCAATTTATTTGGATCTTCCTTTATTTCTTTCATTATTGTTTTATAGTTTTGTTTTGTAGTCTTGTACGTATTTTGATAGATTTACATCTAAATATTTCAATTTTTGAGTGATTATAAATGATTTTATATTTTTAACTTCAGTCTTTCTTTGTTCATTGCTGGTATATAGAAATACAGTTGGTTTTTGAATGTTGATTTTGTACTCCTTGATTTTGCTCAACTCAGTTGACAGAGGTTTTTGGTAGATGTCATGGGCTTTTCTACATAGACAGTCATGTCATCTGTAAACAGGAACAGTTCTATTTATTTTGCCCCTATCTGTGTGCCTTTTTGTTTCCTTTTTCTTGCTCTGATTAGAACTTCCAGCATTTGTTGAATAAGAGTGGTGAACAGTGGACATCCTTGACTTGTTTATGAACTTAGGAGCAAAGCATCAGACTTTTACCATAAGATAGAATAACAGGTATACTTTTTTTTTTTGGTAGATACTCCATTGAGTTAAGGAACTGTTCCTCAATTTCTATTTTCCTATGAGTTTTTAATCATGAGTGGGTATTGGATTTTATCAGTTTATTAAAAGTAATTTATATGACCATGTGATTTTTTTTCTTTGGTTTGTTAATATAGTGCATTATATTGCTTGGTTTTTGAACCAAGAAAATAGCATTGCATCCTTGGTATACACCCCCCTTAACCATGGTATGTAATTTTTTAACATATGTTGTTGAATTATCTTTGATAATGTTTTGTTAAAGTTTTTTCTCTGTATTTATGAGGGATAGATATTGGTCTGTAGCTTTATTTTGTTCTGTCTGCCTGGTTCTGGTATTGGGCAATATTAGACTTATAAAATAAATTGAGAAATTTCTCCTTTTGTTCTGAAAGAAATTATGTGATTATGTAGATTTGGTATTGATCTTTCTTTAAATATTTGTTAGAATTCTCCAGTAAAATAATCTGGGTCTGAAGACTTCTTTTTAGGATGTTTTAAATTATGATTTCGAGTGTTTGGTAGTTAAAGGACTATTCAAATTATTAATATTTCATGTTGGCTGAGTTGTGGTAGTTTGTGCTTTTCAAAAAATTGGTTTGTTTTATCTAATTAGTCAAGTTTATGTGCATGTAGTTTTCATGGTATTATTCTCTTATTTTCTTTTTGATGTCTATAGCGTCTATAATGATATCATCAGATTCATTCCTGATATTGGTAATTTGTGTTTTTTGTCTTTTTTCCTTTGTCAGTCTTGTTAGAGATTTGTCAATTTTATTGATCTTTTCAAAGAACCAATCTTAAAAAATTGATTTTCAATAATGGTTTTCTGTTCAAAATTACATGATTTCTGCCTTTATCTTTATTATTTCATTTCTTCTTGTTTTGGGTTTATCTTGTTCTTATTATTCTAGGTCTTTGAGGTGGAAGCTTGCTTATTGATTTGAGACTGTTTCTGTTTTCTAATATATGCATTTGGTGATATGAATTTCCCTCTTAGCATTGATTTAGCCAGGTGCCATAAATTTTAATATACTGTAGTTTAATTTTATTTCAATTTTTAAAATATTTCCCTTGAGCTTCATCGTTGACTTGTGATTGTTTAGAAGTGTCTTGTTTGGTTGCCAAGTGTTTGGAAGTTTCCTTGTTATCTTTATTTAATATATGGTTTGATTCCATTGTGATAGGAGAAAACGCTATATATGTCTTTCATTCTTTAAATGTGTTAAGATTTGTTTTGTGCCCTGTGATATAGTGCATATTGATATATTGTCTCTGGGCACTTGAAAAAAATGCATGTTCTTCTGGTTTTGGTTGACATGTTCAATCAATGTCAGTTAGATCTTGTTGATTGATGGTGTTGTTGATTTCTTCTGTATCCTTGCTGATTTTACACCTAGTTGATTTATGAATCAGTGCGTGAGAGTTATTGAAATGTTCTACTGTAATTGTGAATATGTCTATTTCTCCTTTCAGTTTTATTAACTTTTGTTTCACGTATTTTGCAACTATGTTGTTTGATGCATACACATTTAAGTTTGCTGTGTTTTCTTGATAGATGAACTTCTTTATCAGTGTATAGTGCCTGTCTCTATCTCTGGTATTTTATTTTTTTTTTGCTCTGAAGGCCACATTATCTAGTGTTAATATAGCTCTTCTGCTCTCATTTGATTGTTTGCAGCATAATTTTATCCCTTTACTTTCAACCTGACTATATTGTTATATTTTAAGTGAGTTTCTTGTAGATAGAATATAGGTGGGCCACTCCCCATCCTCATTCTGCCAAACTCTGTCTTTTTAAAGTGTGCATTTTGACCATTTATATTTAATGTGATTCATTACAGGTTAGAGCTTAAGCCTGGCATTTTATATTTTATTTTCTGTTGTTTTTCTCTGCTTTTCTTTTCTCTTTTCTTCTTCCTGCTTTCCTGTGTGTTACTTGAATATTTTTAAGAATTTCATTTTGGTTAACTTGTAGTGTTTCTTTTTGTACAACTTTTAAAATGATTACTTAGGCATTGCATTATATAAACATAGCTTAGCAAAGTCTTATGATGTTATCATTTTACCAGTTCAAGTGAAGTGTAGAAACTTAACTTTCATTATCCTCCCCCATTTTTAATCTAGTTGTTTAGAATATTTCTCCTATATATATTTAGAGCCATATTAGATAGTTTAAAATTTTTGCTTCAAACATCAAATGTAATTTAGAAAACTCAAAAGAGGTAGAGAAATTATTGTATTTACCATAATTTTGCTTGCTGAGTTTTTCTTCCTACTTGCAAGCATTCCTTTATCATTTCCTTTCTATTTAGAGTTCCTTTAGTCTTTTTTTCTTTTTTTTACAGTAGATCTTCTGGTCATCAGTTTTCTTAGTTTTTCTTCATCTGAGGATGTCTTGATTTCTGCTTCAGCCCTGAATGGTATTTTTTGCTGGATATAGATTTTGGGTTCCCAGTTCTTTTCTTTTAGCACTTGAAAAGTATTGTACCACTTTCTTCTGGCTTCTATTGTTTTTGATAAGAAATCTGTCACTTGAATTATTTTTTCACTATAGTAAGGTGGCATTTTTCTTTCTCTGCTCTCAAGTTTTTTCCTTTGTCTTTTTTTTTCTGAGTGCTTTTATAGTTTACCCCCTTACTCCTCTCCTTCTAGGATTCTGATCACATGCATGTTAAAATCTCAATTGCTAAGGCTCTTTTCATTAAAAAAAAAAATCTATTTGCTCTCTTTTGTTCAGATTGTTGCTGTTTGTTCAGATTGGGTGATTTTTATTGTTCTCTCTTGCAGGTCACCAGTTCTTTCCTCTGCTTCCTCCCTTCTGATGTTGAACCCATCACTGATTTTTGAAAAGTTTTGTTTTTTACATTTTTCATTTCTAATATTTCCACTTATTGCTTCTTTTTATATTCTATTTCTTTGCCAAAACTATTTCATTGCTGAGACTTTCTTTTTCTATTAGTTTCACACATGTTTATAATTGTTGGTGTATTCTGTGACAGCTCCTTCAAATTCCTTGAGAGAGAACTGTAACGTCTCAGTCATTTCAGTTTTACTATGTATGGATTGTCTTTTTCCACTCAGTTTGAGATCATCCTGGTTCTTGGGGGGGCGGATGACTTTTAATTGAAATGGGAAGACTTACAGGTTAGTCTCCCTACTTGGTCTCCAGTGGTACCTCTTTGAATAGAGGGAAGAGTGCCTTCTTCCTGCTCCCAGCCTGGCTTCCGTTGACACCGGGAGGATGGGTGTAGCAGCTTGCTGCTGCTGTAGGTGAAAGTCTAGGTTCTCCAGATGGTCTCTAGTGACACCGTGGGGAGGGGCCGTGTTACTACCCAGGGAGTATGAAAGTCTGACTCTCTACTAGGCTTTTTCTACGTTCCATGGAGGGGGGTATTAGGTGCCCTGTTATAGCCTGAAAAGCCTGGAAAACTAGATGCCCTGCTCAGCCTTTGCTTGAATGGGTAGGGTGAAGGTATAGCTTTTTCTGTGGGTTTGGCTGGAGGAAGCTGTTACTGTCTACAAGTTTTCTGTCTTGCCAGGCCATACCTTTTCTGGTCCTTTGGCTAAAGAGCCCAGACTTTCCCTGGGGATTTAAAAATTTTCTGAGATACATGAAGCAAAAAGAAAACCCAGGGTATTCGCCACCTTGTCATTTCTTGGATCCCAAGGTCCCTGGCTATACTGCCTTCTTTTCTCTAACATACAGAATATTCTTGTGTTTCTTTCATATATAATGTCCAGGGTTTATATTTTTACTTATTGGTGGAATAGAGAAAATTGTGTCCAGGGGAGAAATCTGGAAACTGAATAGGCAACTGTGAGTCTCAGGAATATTTAGAAAACATCGCTTTATTCCACAGTGACTTTTATGCAAGGTTGCTGGGTCTAAGGTCTTGTAGGGAAATTGGAGCTTAGACTGAAGGTTTGTAGCTCAGACCTGGGCCAAGGTCATTCCAAGGACCCCTTTTCCTCTCTCACCTTCTCTTCCTTTGTAAGGGGGAAAGAACAGGGGCTGTGCGAGACCCTTGACTCACCTATTGGTGGCAGTCATAAATCAAGCCTAGGAGCACCCAATGTAAAAGTTGATACTAATGACACCTTATTCTTGTGTCTGGCATTGCCTTTTGTTTTCTTCCCCCTAATGATCCTTCTTCTCACTGGGATTTTATCTCCTAGGAGCTGATGAGGCAAGCTGGGGTGGGGTCCTACCTAACACATCACCTATGTGCACTGATGCTGTGAACCCAAAGCTTGCCAATGTGGGCCCGTACTAGTGCTTGAGGAGGGATGCAGTGATGCACTGCTGTAGATGTGGGGTGGTAGAATGATCTCAAATCCATGCAGCCCAGGGCTGGAAGCTGTCGTGGGAACTGGGAGGGAGTCAGACCAGGATTTGATTGGCCATCTGATTGTCTTGTCCCTTCAAAGGAGTACAGCTCTCGCACAAGCCCCACTTTTCTCACCTGGAGGCATTCTGATTCCCCTCCCTTGTCGCCCCAGGCAGGGTCTCAGGAAGCTGTAGTGAAACTGTAGCGCTTGGGTGGATATTGGAAAGTGGTGATGTTTCTGGGGTGGGGAGGCAAATAAAACCATGACATTGTTTTTGGAGGATCAGATGCAGATTGTCAACACAAATATATTTCTGGACCTAAGAGTCGAATGTGTGGAGTAATTATGGACCTATTAAGAAGCAGGCTTATTCTTCCTTTCGGTGACTGAAACATCTCTGCTGCCCAACCCTTTCATGCTGGGAAAAGGATTTTTCCATGGCGGGGACTGTTCCTTTAAAGTTTTAGGGGCTGGAGGAAATACAAGAAACTAGCACAAACTTGGCTTCTAGCAGCCACTTCAGTTTTGATGATCTGTCCCCAGAATCTTGGTTAGGGTTGAATTCCCATCAAATGTTAATAACCACTGTAAAGGACCCATAGCTTTAGGAGGAATAATTGTTTCTACTGGTAAAGGGAGTCTTTAGAAGATGCTGAGGGTGAGGTCATTTGTCCACTCTGGGCCCAGGTATCTTCTTGTGTCCATGTGCTCTGAATTCTGTGGGCTGCTCTCCACATACAGGGCTACGGTGAGCCACAAAAGATATTTTCATGTGTATAGGACCTGCAAAAACATTTCACTAAGTGACTTATCACAAAGGATTTCTAATAAGGTGTAGCCTCCTAAAAAATACCCACACAGACACACACAACCCCCTCACCTATCACCTGCATGAAGAGCTTCAACTGTCTCAGCATGTGCCCTCAAGATCAGTTTTACAAAAAACAAAAACAATCAAAAAAAGATTCAGCATCTCACTGTCAGATATTTTGGAGCTCCAGTCTGCAGGATCAGGTATCTCGCTCTATCCATCACTCCTGGGGCAGTCCAGCCTTTTCCTGGTGACCTGTTGGCAGCCTTCACCCACTGCAGAACCCCTACATGTGAGCCCTGTTTGGGTCTGAATGGCCTTTGCGGAGCTTGCACCATTTCAGCATGCAAAAATCTCTTCAAGGCAGGAACATCGCTCCTCAAAGCTAATGAATGGATAAATAAAACGGCAGTGAGAACACCTCCCTCACCCTGTTCTTTTTTTTAATAAGTCTTTTAAAAAACATTTATCTGACTGCCCTAAACCTTAGTTGTGGCACATGGGATCTTTATTGCCATGTGCAAGATCCAGTTCCCTGACTGGTGATTGAACCTGGACCCCCTGCACTGGGAGCTCAGAGTCTTAGCCACTGGACCACCAGGTAAGTCCCCTTCACTCGGTTCTAACCCAACTCAGGGCACCTGTGTCCAGGGACCTGGTGGAGGGTTGGTTGATGTTTACATGGTATGCACCAGTACCACTGTCCTGTTGCTAAAAATACTGAAATAGTTCCTAAGCTGCTGGCAAATAGTTTCTGCCCTGAACCTCTGCTCACAGATCCTCCCCTGTGCCTGGAGCCTTGGCCCTTCCCTAGATCCAGAGCATAGGAGGAAAACTCCTGGTCTATCAAGGCCACCAGGTTACAGCCCAGGCTGATTCAGTCGGTGGGGATCCCAGTGCACTGGTTGTTAATGCGTTTGCTTCCCAGCCCTGCTTGTTGACGCATTTTGTACCCATGCTCTTCCTCTGCACTCAACAGCAAGTGTTTCCTGGATCCTAGCCGTGTGCTGCTACTTTGCTCTGTAGCCAGCTTCTCTTGGCCAGTCTCATTTCCTCCTGAGCACATCCCCCGCTTCTGAGCCTGTGTCCTCACCATGTTTCCCTTTTATACGGTGGCAGTGAGTATTGCCAATGTGTTCTTGCTGCGCAGGAGATGATCCAAGTGAGGCCTTTCTATTGCTGTCATTCTGACCCCCCACACGATGAGACTTTCCTGTAGGAAGGTTATCACATTTATGCTTTTGCAGTTTCTGTTCTGTTTACAACTTGCAAAGTAGCTGCCTGGTTTTCTGTGACACGTGTGTCGCTGCTATGACAACAGCAGGGGCGTGTCAGCTGTGAGAACAGCCCTCTGCCTCTCCCCCAACTCAGAGTGGTGCTCAGACCCGCGCAGGGCCCTCGCGCATTTCCAGGGGGCAGCTGTGATGACCCTGTTGAGCCTTTGGCTCGAGTTTCCCTTCTTCCTCCCATCACCGGGTTGAGGTTGAGGAAACACCTTTTGGAGGCTCTGTTCCTTGCTCCGCCTGTTTTCCTTGAGACCAGCTCTGAAAGTTTTATCATCAGCACATCTCTCCTTGTTTCACAGCCGGCAGCTTGTGTTAAGCTGTGAGCTGAACGCTGACACTTGTCAGTCAGCCCCTAGTTTAGCTTCCGCTGCCATCAGGGGTGACTTCCTCCAGTAATCGGCTGGGCTTGACAATGATTCCGTTTTCAGAATGGCCGCCGAGTCACGAGTGAGTGTCTGTAGGAAGGCACCCCGCCCAGCTGGCCGGAGGCTTCATTTATTTACGGATCCCTTAGCGGACCCTCCCTTGGTCCCTGCTCCTTCCAGAGAGAGGCCCGAGGGTCTCCTCTGGGGAGTGGAAGGAGGCTTGCCCTCCCAAAACTGGCTGCATTCTGTTTGGGGAGAGCAAGCTGGAGTTCTCTCTTTGTTAGGAAACAGTGTCTGGGAGGGCCTCCCTGTTCTGAAGAAGCCAGGAAGGGGTCAGAGCTGGGAGCTTCCGGACCACCTGACCGTTTGACTCCTCAGGAAGCGGAGGCTTAGAGCAGGGCAGACACTGGCCCAGGGTCACACCAATGGCCAGAAACTGGAGTGACCGCAAACCAGGCCTGTGCATGACCGGGGGCCGTCTCTCCTCTCGTCCGTTAAGTCCTCGCTGAGTCTGCACTCCACATGCATTGCCCCAACTCATTCATTCAACAGGTAGAGCCCCCAAACTGGCCTCTTGAGTAAGAATTTCCAGGGGAGGGGCCTGGCAGGCTGCATAGTTGACAAGCACCCCCAACCCCATCCTCCAGATTTGTATCATCAGAAGTTTGGGAAATTCTGATCTACACCGTACCTGCTGGTGGTGGGTTCAACGTGATGGGAATTCTGGAGCTGGGACTCTGGGGGACTGTGGCTTGTGCCTGGAAACAGGACTGTGTCTGGAACCATCCAGACTCTTGGCCAGGTGAGAGAGGAGAGGGTTCTTGTGGGCACTGGGGCCCGTGGATCAAGCCAGGTAGCATCCAAGGTAAAAGTAATAATTTGGGGGGAAACTAATAATGCCTTATTCCCCAGGAATCTGGGAAACTGGGGGTTAGTAGGAGGGGGAGGGTCCTGCTTTGCTCAAACCAGTTAGTACAGGGTTCCTGGGACTTCCCTGCTGGCTCAGACAGTGAAGACTCCACCTGCAATGCAGGAGACTCAGGTTCGGTCTCTGGCTCGGGGAGGTCCCCCAGAGAAGCGAATGGCTAGCCACTCCAGTGTTCTTGCCTGGAGAATCCCATGGATAGAGGCGTCTAGTGGGCTACAGCCAATGGGGTCAGAAAGAGTCAGACACAGCTGAGTACCTAACACTTTCACTTTCCTGGGCACCCACAGATGAGGTGGATACACAAGACTTCTTGGTACTGGTGGTCAGATTTAGGGGAATAGCTGCTTGTGGTTCTATGGCTTGAGGATGGGAAAATAATCTCAAATTGCAGGACCAGGAGGCTGCTGACCGTGATCAAAGAAACTGAGTGCTCCAGTATGCCTTAACGTGGATGCAGAAACGGAGTGAGACTTAGGAACCTTCTGAGGTGACTCAGGGAATTTAGTGTTGATGGAAGGTAGACACAAGGCCACTAGATGATTGGGTGTCAGATTGCAACCCGAGAGGCCCTGGCTTTCCATGTAGGTGTGTCCTGGGTGGGAGAGGCTAGAGGGTGGGACGTGGGCATTGAGAGCAACTCTGCTCTGTTTCTCTGTGTAAGATTTCACTGGGAAAGTCAGAGGCTCTATCCCGGGTCACTGTGTGTCCTCAGACCTAATACCAGGACTGGAATTAGGAGAGCTGTATGTCAGGCCTGGCCTGGTGGGTGATTCTGGCTGGTTCTGCGGACCTCTGTGAACCTCAGGTTCATCTTCTAGGTGGGGTGAATGCTCTGTCCAGGTTGTTGGCAGATCTGATGTCAGTGGCAATTGATGTTTCAAGTCTGGGTTGAGGGTCAGTGGTGGGGAACCTGGGTGCCCAGTCAGTGGGTTGCCAAAGCGGCCCCAATTCCTGCCTTCATTCTCTGACCTGCTTTTTGTTACTTACCCTCTGCCGAAAACCAGATTTTCTTGCAGCTCAGACGTCAGTATAATATGAAAAAGCCCAAGGGCCTTCAGTCTCAGATGGGTTCCTTGCTATCAAAAGCTTCTTCCTGCATTAGGGCACAAGCCTTTAAGGCTTTTAGCACCCGTGTGCCCTTGCCCATCACCAGGGCACCTCCAGCCCTGGCCTTGCTCATGACAGGCATCAGAGGCAGGGCCCACATTTGGATGACTTGCAAGATGAGGAAGGACGGAGGCTGGATATTTCCTTACTTTTTTTGTATCAGTTACTCAGGAATGAATCCCCTGGATAATTGCTCATCTTTTCTCTCTATGTCCACAATGTTGGTGTGGCCCTGGTGCTCTCCAGCATGAACGGAGGACCAGCTCTGTAACTTGTGCAAAATGAAAATTCAGAGCCCCAAATTTTCTAAAAAAAATTTTTTTTAATTCATTTTCTAAAAATGAAGAACCTCAAGATGACAACCTCAGGATATCAAACCTCCGTGACTGTACCAGTCACGTGCCCACAAAACCAGCACTATATAGGAGCAAGGTGCTTTGAATGGCGGGAACCCCACAGGGCTCAGGCTGGAAGGGTATGGTTGTGCAGGTCGTATACTGCACAACTCTGGGGAATACCATTCACAGTATTGAATGTGGCCCACATGGCAGCCTTGCCAGAGGCCACCCCAAAGCCCTGGCCAGTGGCCATGACCCACAGCTCTGGGACAGAGAAGCCTCCTGAAGATGGGCTGGCCTCCTCACGCCCAGATTCTCCGCTCCAGCCAGGGTTCTGAAAGCTCCTTCTTCGCTCCTCCCATTCTCCTTGGCATTTCAGAGACACGTTTCTCCGCGAAGCTGAGGTGCCCGGGCTCCACGCGGGCGCTGCTAGGGAAGCTTCCGCTCCTCCGTGCGGATCGCCCGCCGGCGGCTCTGCTGTTAACCTTTGGGGTTTGCTCATAAAATAGAAACTCTCTTTGTAGGTCAGTTTGTCAGTAATTTTGGCAGCCGCGGGGCCACCGAGGGAATGAGGCTTGGTTCCCACTTGTCTCTCGTGTTCGGTTTGGAGACTTTTGCGGAGCCCTTCCCCGGGAGGAACGCTCACCCCTGCCGGAAACGAGAGACAGTTTTCTCTGACCTGGTTTTGAATCGGCAGGAACGATTCCTGTATGCTGGAAATGTACGGCCGCTGAGAAGGAATCTGGTCCAACCCCAGCCTGCGGAGCCTTCTCCTTGGGGCGCTGTCTTCCTGGGCAGGGGGCATTTGGGTGGGGCTGCCAGGTTCTGCTTCTGCCCCCATGTTAGATGATGTGGAAGGGTCTGTTGAGACTGGCACCCACCCGAGCCTCACTGCGCTTGCCATGGTCTGCAGGATGGCATGGTGGCCTGCCAGCTGGCCCACCTGGTTCTGCACAACCACTCTGACATCCCCACCCCCAACCTCAGCCTGGGTTGTTGAGGCTCTTCTGGGCATCTTCCACTGTGATAACCTCCCAGCGCCCAGCTCAGTACTCCCTGATGGAGGGGAGGGAAAAGATGAACAAGTCTTCATCAGACCCTGCCTTCAAGGGCCCAGCGGTTGGACGGGGATGAGGGTGGTTACGGAACATGCAGGCTGGCAGGACTGGTTGTCAGAGAGGATGGTGCTCAAGGTAAACTGAAACAGGCAGCCTGGAGAAGTCAGAGAGGGCTTCCTGGGAGAGGCAGTGATGAACTGGACTATGACCTCTCTCTCTGTTACTTGAGGCCTCTAGGGAATAAGATTGAGCATCTCTAGTCCAGTACAGGAAGCCTGGAGTGCCTAGGTCGGGAGAGTATTATGGCCTGGAAATTCAGAGCGACTCAAATAATAAAAAACTGAGCATTGGTAGAATCAGAATTGATTGAGAGGTAGAACAGGACTCAATGACCAAAGTGAGGTTTGCAGAGTGAGATCTTCAGATCAACCAGAGAAATGGGTTGAGTGCCATGGGAGGGAATGTGGAGAAAGGAGCAGACGGCAGCTTGGGTTTGGAGAAGAGGGCAGCTTGGGGTCTGGGAAGAGCCCCAGGAGTCTCAAGGAAAGAGACCCTGGCTCCAACATGCTCCAAGAAGGCAGGCAGGCTGAAAGGATGCTTTCTAGTCTCTTATGTGTTCCTGCGTGTCACCTTTAGATCCCAAGGTCTGAGCATGGACTCATGGGGGCAGCAAGGTCCAGAGAGAAGCCTGGAGCTTTCCCCGGACTCAGGTCTGCTCATCGCTCCCTGGACAGAGAGCCCTGTTTTACTGATGTTTGTAGAGAGTGCTGCCTTTGGAGACTGTGGGGTCAGAGCCTCCATGGGGATGAGCGGCAGCTGCGGAGATAGGAGACCTAGATTCCAGTCATTGCTCCCCTCATGAGCTTTGTGACCTTGAGCAAGTATTGTCCCCTTCTAGGAACCATACTCTGGCCCTTGTATGACTGAAGCAAGCATGGAGTAAATGAACATGCTACTCCATTAACCAGACTTCCTTCCTGTTAAAACTTTCAGTTTTAACATTATGATGGTTACAGTGATGACAGTGATCACAAACAATTCTATAGCACTTACTTAACTGCCAGGTCCTGTTTTAAGCACTTTATATCAACTGTTCCACTTACTTCTCACATCAGCCCCCAGAAGGATTCATCTGAATGCAGGAACCCCACAGCACTGAGGTCTGAAGGGTGTGGTTGGGCAGGTTGGACACTGCACAAAGTTTTAACAGGGACACCATCCACATGTTTGCCAATCCTGGTCAGTGACAGGGATCCAGAACTTTGAGGCAGAGATGCCCCTCTATTCTCTTATTTTATAGATGGGGAAATCAAGAGGCGAGGTAGCCTGCCTAGGGCTACTGTGACTCAACCAGCAAGAGTCAGAGCCAGGTTAGGACCCAAGTGATCTAGCTACAGACTCCATGTGCTCAAGCGCCATGCCAAATTGCACCCGTGCGGTCATAGAGTCCCCTCTTTAATGGAGCATCCGTCTACAGGGAGCAGTGTTCCCTGGAACACACTTTCCAGATGCATTCCATGGGCACTTCTAGCTGCCAGCTCTGGACCATCAAACTCCTGGGGGAATCTCCAATGGAAATTTTGCTCCAGTCTCTGAATCTCCACCAGTGTGGACTCCTGCAGCGTTGCGTAGATTAATAGTCATCTGTTCTTCTTCTTTCCATCCTTCCTTTATAAAAACACTGTATCAGAGAAATTTGCCAATGGTGTGTCCATGCAAGGACCTCCTCGCCAAGGCAGCTGCACGTTAAGGGGAAATTTATAAAATGAAGTTTGGAAGCCGCCGGCCCGGCCAGAGCCCCTTCTGAGCGATGATTTATTTCGGCAATGTGGTAGTCATTAGTATCTTTGGTGTTGGAGCCCACGAGCTTGGGCCTGGGTCTGTGGCCGAGGGAGCCTTCAGGGCCATTACGCGCTAATGGCTCAGTGTGGGCAAAGGAGGCCCGCCGTCAATCTCGCTGCCGGCGGGTAATAAACGTCGGCCGGCTGCCTTCCTGCTCCTGGAGAGGGGGTGGCGGGGGCCTCGGTGCACGGCGGCCCACTGGGCCTCCGAGAGGCCTGGCCTCATCTCCACGGCCGTGGAGCAATCACGTCTCCTCTTGGCTCGGAGACTAGAGGTGAGAAGTTGCCCAGAATTTTGTCTGACTCACCCAGATTTTAGAAACCTGAGGTTGGTTTGGGGGCTCTTGGTTCTGCTGGTTTGGTTTTGGGTGGCTGTCTTCCTGCAGGGTGTCCATGTCCTTGTGGAGAGGGTGTGGGTGATGTAGGGCCGGTACAGAAACCACCCCAAAGGAGGGCGCTCTGCTGTCTCTGGCCCTTGGGAACATCTCTCCATATTGCCCCCCTTAGAATGGAGGCCTCATTTATATACACAGTCAAGGGCGCGAACATACTGTCACTCGATGCCCTTTACGTGTGCCCGCCCAGCCTGCACCCACATCGGCAAGTAGCCCCCTTTCTTGCCCCCAGAAGTTCCCCAGGGCAGTCGCTCCTCTGACCTCTACCACCTGAGGGTGGTTGGACCTGCCTCAGCGGAACCCTCCAGGGTGTGGTTTTGGGGTCTGGCTTCTGTAGCTCACTGTTAACAATACATTTGTGAGTTTCATCTTGTTTGCGTATCAGGAGTGTGTGCCTTTTTATTGCCGTGTTTGAGCCCCTGTACAAACATGTTCCAGGTGGCTGTGCATTGGGGTGTTGGGTTGTTCCTGGACGGGGGTGCTGCCGTGAATAAGCGCTGTGGAGGCCATCCGCAGAGGGTCTTGTCTGCGGAGGGGGTCCTCTGGTCATACGCATGCGCTTCTTTGCTTTCATAGCTGGCAGGTTCTTGAGCTGCTGGCTTGTGGGTGGGGAAATGTTCAGTTGGAGCTGACACAGCCAGTTTTCCAGGGGGCTTATGCAGGTCTACCTGCCCACCCTCTCTGCCTGCAAGGTCCTGTGTACCCCACGACCTCTGCCCCCACACCCACTGCTCCAACCTCCTGCTCACCCCACTCTGGCCGCACCTGACTTTGTCCGGTTCTCGGACAGCCTCTTTGTGGAATGTTTCTCTCCAGCCCCTACACCCCTGCCGCGTTCATATCCAGGTGTCACCTCTCGGGGCTGAGCCCCACTTCGACCCTGTCCTTCTAATCACCCTCTGTCTTATTTCCTTCATAGTGCTTCTCTTCATCTGCAGTCATCTCACTTACTCATGTGTTTGTCCTTCCAGGTGGACCAGGGGCCTAGTCTATGTCATTTTTGCCTGTATGTTCAGTGCCTGGACCAGAGTCCAGCACATAGTAGATATGGATAATGAGAAGAAGAATGAATGGACTTGAACTTTTCAAACCCAGATGTCTCATGTATCTTGTCTTGCCATCGTAGCCACCTTCCTGTGAGGAGGATGAGGTCAGGAGCATGGTCTCCATCTGACAGTGGAGGCAATGAGGTATGAAGAGTGATTGATGAGCCCAGGTGGGGACCCCAGTTCCAGGCCTGAGCCTGGCGTGTTGTTTGTGAGCTGTAGCTCTGAGGTCTTGGGATCCGGCTTCAGATCTGGCTCTGCCACCCACTTGCTATGTGATCTTGTGTGAGTTCCTTAACGTCTCTGGGTCTCGGTTTACACATCTGTGAAATGAGAGGATTAACATATCCAACATCAAGTGCTGGGCCCATCAAAGGAGCACTTGGTGATGGAGCCTCTTCTTTTATCAGTTGGTTTTACCTGGACATACACTCTGTCCACTGATGGCCATGGGGATAGTGTATGGAGAAAGGGCTTCCTTGCTTTTTAAAGACTGCTTGGTGAGCCCCAGCCTTTTTCTTTGTACAATGAAAGTATGCCATCACATGGGCTTGATGAGTGGCCTCCTCCCTCCTCCTTTCTTCCCTACTTTCTTGGTTTGTTTATTCATAATCTGTAGGTGAGTTCAGAGGCAAGTAAACTAACGTGTGTGCATGTCTGTGTGTCTGTGTATGCACGCAAGGGGTTTCTTTTCAGCCTGAGGTGTCCAGGGTAGAGTTCAGAAACTGGGGCTTCCTTAAAACAATGCGACCTTGTGTTACCTGCAGGGGGACACCGGGCTCTCAGGTCTTAAAGCTATTAGGTTGAACATCCAATTTTTGACCCACAGAAAATGGCAGTTTCACATGGTCCCCCTAATATCCGAAGGCCCTCTGGAAGTGGCGATTTACAGCAAAAAGTTGCCACACTGATTTTAAACAATTTCCATCAGAGTCCTAATATTGCTGTCCCTCACCCTGGTTATTTCCCGAGCGATACACAATCAAAAATGCTTGGAAGTCCATCAGTGGGTTTCTTTAGCGAACAGCTCTCCCTTTGAACTTTCTGAGTGTCTCTGCACACCCAGGAGGGTGAGCCCTGAGGCTCTGGAGGGTTGGACCCCCCTCCCCGAGTTTCTTGTGCAGCGGAACCTCTGCCCAGGGGTGCGATCTGGCCGCCCTGAGGTCAGGTCCTCCTGGCGCCCCCCACTTTCTCCTCCGCACAGGTCTCACTCTGCCTTTACAACCAGTTCGCCACCCCTGCTTCTGCCCCAAGAATGCTGGTTCAAGTACCTGAGGACTTTGAGTCATGGAACAGCTCTGGAATGAAAAAAATGATAATAATAGGAAAAATAGTAAGAGCTACTATTCGTGGAGTGTGTACTATATCCAGGCACCTTACCTGCACTATTTCAACTCCCCCCCACCCCCAATTTCATAAACTAGGTGTATTGTTCCTAGTTGACAGATTAGGAAACTGAGGCAAGGAGAGATTCAGTGATGTGTCAAAGCTTGCTGTCCCAGCTGAGGAGGGTCCGGACTGGAGTTCTGCCCAGGTCATGCTCAGGTGCGCTCAGGCACTCAGTCGTGTCCGACTCTCTGTGACCCCATGGACTGCAGCCCGCCAGGCTCCTCTGTCCATGGGATTCTCCAGGCAAGAATACTGGAGTGGGTTGCCATGCCCTCCTCCAGGGGATCTTTCCTGACCCAGGAGTCGAATCGGTGTCTCCTCCATTGCAGGTGGGAAGCCCGTCAACTAGATCACTTAGCTCCAAGTGTGCCCTTCTTACCACCCCCTCTGCTTCCTGACTGTTTTCTTCAAATGCACACATTTGAAGAGAAGTTGAGGAACGGTTTCCAGGAGGCGGAGAACACATGGGTGAGAGCTGTGTGTGATTGACAAGCTCTCCCAACAGGACCTGTTCTGCATTCTGGGCAGAGAGAGCCAGGGAAGGCTGGAGTTGAGGGGGAGGCTCCTGGGGGCGTGGAGCAGGGAGGGGGAGCTATGTTTGGGCTCCCGAGAGGGTGGGGGAAGGGGGCGGTGATTGCCAAATACTTGACCCTCACCAGAGGATTGGTTTCGTAAAGCCTTTGTTAAATGCCGGGGAGCAGTAGTAATAGACTCTCTTAGCATCACAGTGCTTTCTTACAACTATAGACATACGGATTTATGGAATCATATCATCCCAGACCCTGAGGACTGTAGGGCTCTCGGATTGTAAAGCTGGGGACCTCTTACTCACGCGGTGTGGAAAAGAGCTGCTCACACGCGTGAACGCAACATGGGCTGCTGGCTGTCCAAGGGAAACAAGACGCAAGCCATGTGTGTAATTTTAAATGTTTACAAGCTGCGTTGAAAAGAGCTAAAAGGAAACAGATGGAATAAAATTCTTTTATTTAACCCAATATATCCAAAATATTATGATTGTACTGTAAAATCAACTTAGAAAGTTGTTAATGAGAGTTTTTTACATTCGCTTTTTCATGCTAAGCTTTCAAAATCAGGTGTACATTTTGTGCTGGGAACGAGCCACATTCCAAGTGCTCCGGCAGGCACATGGGGCCAGTGTAGGTCTAGGCGTGCTCCTGATGGGATGTGTATGTGAGGTGTAGCCTGTGGGCCGTGAGGGAGCAGTGGTCTGCTTGCTAGGAGGGGCTGGCTCTTGGGGGATCGCTGGCAAAGACCTTCATCTCTCTTTGGAGTTTGCAAACCTGCATTCCCCACCCCGGCCATCTTGCCGGCCACTCCTGTTCATCACGGCAGCTCCCGGGTGGCCCGCAGAGAGGCCTCTCCTAGCCCAGAAGGAGCTCTGAGATGGTCAGAGGGAGCTTGAGGCCCAAGCAGGGCCACCAGGGGAGAGAGGAATCACGCGGCTAAGGCTCCTGCCTTCACTCGGCCTCGGGGAACAGAAAGCCGGGCAGTGCCTCCTGGCCCGGGGCCCCTCTCTGCCCCTCCCCGGGGGTGCAGATGGTGGGAGCAGGGGCACAGAACTCAGTGCCCGACGTCCCTCCTGCTGTCATCCGAGGCCGTCTTCCCCGGCTGATGCTGTGACAGTGTCTCCATCTCTCCTCCTGCAGCCACGGGGAGATAAAAGCCAGGGCTGTGGGGATGGTAAAGAGGGAGCCAAATTATATTTATAATATTAAAGTGAGTGCATTTGTGCTTGCTGTTCTCCAGGGTTTTTCATAAGTAGAAAAACACAAATTAGCATTTTCCATTTCCATATATTGACTAGAAAAATCGCCTGCTCTCAATTAAGACCTATAGCGTTTGGGATGTATGCAACAATTTTATAAAATATTTACAGCGAGATTTGCATTTTACATGGTGTTACAGTTTTTCTTGTGTTTAGGAGAAAGAGCTGAGGCCTGCGAGAGGAAATACATTCTCTGGAATCGAGGGGAAAGAAACCTGCAGGCTGTTTTTCTTGCCTTCGCTGTGTTTCTGACGTTGTCTCTGGTAATTACCTAAGGCTGATCCACCCATGAGCTATTTGTTAGTCTGTTCTGAAAGCCCTCACTGCTTTGACAAATCTATTACTTTTCCTTTAAAACTTGCCGGAATGGAGCTGTTTGTGGCTTTGTACGAAGAGACGAAGAAGGAGAACATTTTTTTTTCTGAATGTAAAAGCATGCCGTAAAGAACATAGCTATTTCCTGGATAATTTGCAGTTGTATATTTTATGTTAATTTCACCGAAAATACTGCACCCCTGCCAGGTTTAGTAGCGGCTCACTGTGATATGAATAATTTCTAGTGAATCATTTTTTTTCTTCATTTAAGATTTGGCACCTTTTTAAGATTTTAATAATAGCAACAAGGAGGAAGATTTAGAACAAGTGAAACATTAGTGCCAAAGAAATTCACGTTGAGCGCTAATGTAAAATAGCAAGAATAATTACATAGAAAGCAGTTTCCACAGATGTTTTTCCTTGTAATGTAATAACTATTTACTAAACTGTTTATTTTAGGCCTTTGGTTTATAATAAAATATTTATACATTCTCTGCTGTAATAAAAAAAATATTGACAAAATACTATAGAGGTTTAAAAAGACAATTGATGTGTTTATTTTCCAGGAAGCGAGTGGGGTATAAAAGTTTGGTGCTATTTTCAGTGGATGTTTCAAGATTAGTGAAACTGAGGTCGGTGTTGGAGTTCCTTCCCTCATTTATTTGTTGAGAACTGACTAGTGCAAAAAGTAAAATATCGTCAACCTATTGTTTGGCTAGGGATATTGGTAGATGTTGTATTTTTAAAACAGAATTCTTAGCTGTGAATCCTACCGATGGAGAGCTGAGTATCAGAGTTGCTACTCTCCCATCAGATGGGCTAAAGGGGTCTGAGGGCAGGGAGGGCGTGAAGACCCTCTGGAGTGCTTTAGCAGAATTCAGATGCAGGTGGGATTCAAGGCTACTGGGAGGTCAGGTTAGTCTTGTGGCTTATGAAGATTTGACCTTGATTCTCACATCCTGTCTGCAGTCAGTGAGGTGTGGGTTTGCCCCATGGGAACCTCCATCTGGAGCCTGGGTGGCAGGGAGCCCTCCTTTTGTACAGTCCTTGTTTGGGAGAAAAAGGAACAAGAGATGCAAGAGAAAGTCTCCATCCCCCACTGTTGCCCCCGCAACCTCACCCCTGCATCACTCCCTGCCCTACACTGGCCACTGTGATGGGAAGTGTCTCTGAAAATGATCCGGATTGGGAGGGGGAGTTTAAAGACCTAAACAGGAAAGAGGTCATCACAGATCTCTGAAAGGCCCTGTCTGGGCCTCACCTGCATGCATGGAACAGCTGATCGAGGTCCAGTCTTATATATATAAGTAGCCTGCTTTCAACCTCCTGGCTCTCCCAGACTTCTGCATTGACTGCCTCATCTGAGGGTGTGTCTCTGAGCCTGGCTGTTGGTTTCTCTATGTCTGACTTGCTGTTGAGGGTCTGTGTGTGGCTTGTATTTATCTGAGTCTGTAACATTTGCATGCCTGTGGGTTTCCTGCTGCATCTTCAGTTTATGAGTTTTGGTGTCTTTGTGTGTGTGTGTGTGTTTTGGGTCAGTGTATTTGCTGTCTGTGGGTTTGTTTCTGTGTTTTGGATTTGGGCATGTTTGTGGCCTTGTGTATTTGTTGATTCTGTGTATTTGCATCTGTGGGGATTTTTTCTGTTTTTGTATGTGTCTGTCTGCGTATATTGTGTGTGTGTATACTTGAGTGACAGGCAGCTCCCTCTGTGTACTTGTATGTTTCTAAGTTTGTGAGTATGTGTGCGAGAGACAGACAGACAAGCATCCCTCTGTTGAGGAACCAGCCCTTTCCTTGGGAGAGGCCTGGGGGCTTCCCAGCACTGAGATTGCTGGCTGGGCTAGTGCAGGTGTGTGAACATTTCTTTGCATCAAACTTTCTGGTGGAAAGGGAGGAGAGAGGAGGCAGGGAAGAGGTTCCAAAGGGAAGGGAAGTGTGGAATTTTTAATAAAGAGAGAGACAACTGGACCCTGGTCTCAGAACACCCAGAGCAATCTGCCAGAGGAAGTCTGCTGCTTTTGGTTCTTAATCCAGAAAATATCTCTTTTTCTTGCTGGGGGAGGCCAATACCAGGGCCTCTGCCTGAAGCCCCCAGCCCCTCCGCTCAGGGCAGGCAGCTGGGAGAGGGGCTTTTTCAAGGGCTCACCTTGTGCTGCTGGTGATTTTGGTTGGGGGCTGGGGGTGGGGTGGGGTCCTCTTCTCCCAACTTGGCCTATCCCCAGTAACCTAGGACAACATTTCACACTGATCTGCAGGGGAAGGGGGAGCTGCCTCTGGGGGCCCCTCGGGTGCTCTGGGGGTCCCTCCTCACTTGGGTCCGGTGAGGAGATCACCACCCTTCCACCAGGGACCAGCGCAGAGGCAGGGCAGAGTCTGGGAGCCGACCTGCAGGAGGTGCTGCAAACCAACCAGAAGTCTCTCCAGATAGGCCTTCTTGGAGGGAGGGGCCCGCAGAGATCCCAGCAGACTTTAGGGACCAGCTTCCCTAACAACTTCCCAGGGGTGGGGGCTGCTCCCGCTGGAGCTTTTGTTCTGCTGTGTGCAGATGAGTCTGGGGTCAGAAGTGGATTGCTGGGGACAGTATCAGAGAGCCTGCAGCTGCCACCAGGGGTCCCCCACTTCTTCTCACTCTCCAACTGCAACCTTCCCCTCGCCCCTCAATAAATCTTGATTTAGGTATTTAAAGGATACTGGCTTGGGTTGCGGGGGCGCAAATGATTAGTTGGCCTGGATGATCAACTTCTTCCCCCACAAATTGTGTCTAGTCTAAAACCTGGCTAACCTTCTATGTCTTCTCACCTGGTTTTTGAACATCAGTGAGAAATTGGGCTTATGAACTGGGGAATAGAGGAGTTGAGATCAGCCTGATAATGATCTGAAATCAGCAAGGAGGGGAGGGGATAACCCCGTGATGGGTGGGCCCTGGTTGAGGAGGGGCATCTGTGTGACCTTTGCCGAGTGAATCGCAACTTCTCGCCTGCTTTGCCTTTTGTCTAACTAACTTCTGGTTGCACATGGCAGCTCCTGCAGTGTGGGTGACCATGATAAGCTTTGCAGTGAGGAACTGGCACATAGGGCTGTTTATTTACCCTTTGGTTCACAAGGCTCCCGGGCCGGGCCAGGGAAAAACAATTCACTCCACAAGTGACTTCTGCAGAAGAATCTCTCTCTAATTCTAGGGGAGCCTCCATCCAGAAGGCTCTGGCAGAACAGGCCCCAGACTGCTTTTGAGTTTTTGTTAAGCGAACAAGGATGTTGTGGTTGTTATTATTTATTTTGCTAATTGGTGATGTTCCTTGTTATTTTGGGCAAGTCATACCTCTCTTTTTTAAGTTGTTTTCTTTTTTTTTTTTCTCCCCCACCGTTTTTTTCCTCTACAAGAAAAAAAAATGCTGATAAATAGAAGAGAGATAGCAATCACCCTTATCCTCACCTCCAGAGGGAAAACTGCTGTTAACAATGTGGTGTTTACCTTTCCTGACTCTGTGTTCGTACACATGTAAACACTGTTTTAAAAAACCTATTGAAGTTTGATATTTATACAGAGAAGTACACATAGCAATAAATATGTAATGACTTGTTACTGATGCATCACTTGTGCACAGGAAAGCTTGCCTGCCATAAGCGTATAGCTTGCTGCATTCTCCCAGACAGAACCCATCATCACAGACTGTGCTGGCTTCATGACCCAGCGTCAGCTACACCCCACAAGACCACCTCCTGGCCCCTGTAGTCCCACTCTCCAAAATAACCATGATCCTGACTTCAGACAGCCAAGACCGTGGTGCCTGTTTTTGTTCCATTATATGAATGGAATCACCACGTATTTTTTTGTACAC